TCACTGACAAAGCAATGTCTACTCTCCCAGAGGTTGTTAAGTGCGGGGCGAAGTTGTACGAGGACTGGTATAATAAAATTATTAACTGCGCCTTTGAGGTAGGTGGTAAAGTTTCGGACGGGGTCAGCAACCTTAAATCTTTTGATGTCTCTAAGAAATGTATGGTTGCAACGTATGCTCTTAATAAGCCGTCTAATCCTCAACATAAAAAACATAATAAGCACTCTAAACAAAAAATTAACAAGCCATGGTGGGATGAGGAATGTTGCAAGGCAATTGAGGAAAGGAGATTACATTTTCGCAACTTATCTGTGCGCCCTTCAAGAGTCAAATTAAATACTTGGCAACTTGTATAATCTCATATTTGCTTTCGGACAATTTTTATTTTTTAAAATAATATTTGTGGTTTAGGAAAGATGTAACGTAGAATACTTTTATATATACTTGGCGTAAACTTTTTCTTTAAAAAAAAAAAGAGTTTTGGTAGGTAGGTATATTTAATTTGTAATCTTTTTAATTTCAATTATAATATTATATAATATTATATAAAATAAGTTATTAAAATGGCTTGTTGCGTAGAGGGATGCAACTCTAGAGGAGGCAAAAAAGATTTTTTTAAAAAAAGTTTGTTTACATCTCGCATAGTATGTATTATAAGGATAATTTTTTTGTTCAAGTTTTTTTGCTTATATTTACGAATCTATAATAGAATATTTGATGTATGTGTTATGTACAAATGATGTACAATTAAAAATAAAACTGATTTCTTTTTATAGAATGATATGTTTACTTCTCGGTACATAATTATGTCTACTAAAAATATAAAAATAAACAAGAATAGCAGAATTTGCAAATTACATTTTAAGGCAGAAGATACGTATTATTAAAAAGGATGCATTTGTGCAAATAGATGAAACAGTTATTTATGTACCAAGAAAAAATCCAAAATTAAAAGAAGAAGCGGTTAATTCCTTCTATTTTTCCAATAATTAGAAAGTTACCATATTTTGAGCAGTTAGAACATAACAACAGTGTACATTCAGCAAAAGAACAAATTCCTTCTACGTCGCATATGATAGATATTGATATGTTGCAAATAGTAGATGGATCTTTTACGTCATTAAAAGAAACTGTTGTTAAGTTTTCTGCTAAGGATATAAATATTGGAAAAAATTGGAAAAAATATTGAGGTTCCAACAAGTTATTGATTTGCGAACATTAATGATAGCTTTATGATGTGGATATGTTGAACAGACGATTTATCAAGTATTTTACGACGCGTTATATTGTTAAAACAAACATGGAAATAAAAGTAAATACAATTAAAGTATTAACATATTAACATATTATTTAATATAACATAGTATATTTACATTTATAATTTATTGAAATATATAAAATAGGTATTTATTGGAGAAAAAGAAGTTTCTTTTGATATCAAAATGGTTCAAAACATATGAGAAATTGATCAAAGAATAATAATTTTAAAGAAATTACAAATTATGTTTCCTTGTGAAACAGTTAATAATAAAAACAGATTTGTGTATTAAATTATATTTTTATATTTTATAGAAATAACAATATTAACATTTTATTTTGAGTTTGTTGTATTTACACAAATATTTATATTTATTTTGAACAAATCAAATTTTTTTACTTAATTATAGTGTATTATATATACACAAAACAAAATATACTAATTTCTGTTACAGAGTCACAAATTTTCAGGGTTTTGCCATTAAAAAAAAGTATAAAATAAGACAGAGAATGAGATGTTTGGCGTACACAAAAAATTGGAAGATGTTATTAAGAAAATCAGAAAATTTGACACCAATTGAAAAATTAAGAAAAAAAACAAAAAACTGAACAAGTCAAATTTATATTGTAAACATCGAGAAAAGAGGCTTCGAAATGAAGTATTATTTGTCTTTCACATATAAATTACAATTTTCACACATTCGAATTTATCTTTTAATTTTAAATAATGTTATATAGATTAAACGATTATATAATGAAATAACATATTTGAAAGATAAGTGTTCTCAATGTGATGAAAAAATAATTAATAAAGCTATTTAAAAATTATCTAAAAAACAACTATTAGCATTAAAACTTGTTTTGTGGCAACAAAATTAAAAAATATAAAGGGCATGAGATAAATGAATGAATATACGAATGTATTTTGCTTCGAATTAAAAGTACAAAAATGTACAATCATTTGAGATCTCACAATATTTTAACACTACCTTCCATTAAAACATTAAATCGTTATATCAACAATATCAAAAGTTGTTTACGGCTTCTAAATGAGCATATTTTATATGTTGAAAAAGAAAACGGCAAACGTGGAACCTAACAATGTGCGAGGTACATATACATTTTATTAACAAAATTACAATTAATTCTTTTAACATAAGAAATGTGATTTGATTATGAAATATTGCTTTCTGGATCGGATAATTATATAACAATGTAATTTTTAAGTATTATTTCAGTAAATTCAGTAATGTTATTTAAATCGTCAAAATTGATTTTTGTAGATGTTTTATTACTGGATGAAATGAAATTATCAAAAACTTTATATTTTAACCGCAAGAATTTGAAGGCTTTGTTGATTTAGGTCAATATACTTTAGAACAAATGAAAAAAAAGGAGACCATGCATTAGTTCTCATATTTCAACTCTTGAAAGGAAAATGGGTTCAATGTTTGACTTGCTTGTTGGATACACAAGTGCATCAATTTTGTATAAAATTATTATGGAATGCATTATTTTAATCGAACAATCCGGACTTAAAATAGATGCATAGTATCAGATGGAGCATCATGGAATCGAACTATGAGGAAGTTATTTGGTGTAACGGAAGAATATATTAGCATACAGCATATTGTTGACACAGAAAGACGCTTGTGGTTGGTTTATTTCCGATTTTCCGCATTTGATAAAATGTCTCCGAAATTATTTTTCTCAATTTGATCGATATGCAGTAATTTGGGTAAGTTTATAAATTTATATCAGAAAAG